TGAAAAATATGCTCATTGTTGATAAGGAAAAATGCTGCAGCTTCAAGGATAAGACCTTGGTGAGCTTTGGGCTGTGGGAAGCCATCTTCAGAACCAGAAATAGAATCATAGAATCACAGAAACATTAAGGTTGGAACAGACTTCTACTCCAGCTGTTGACCTATCCCTGTCATGCCACTAAACAACATCCCTCAGTGCCACATCTACACGTTTCTTGAACACCTCCAGGGACACTGATTCTACCACTTCCCTGGGCAGCCCGTTCCAGTGCTTCATCGCTCTTCCTGAGAAGAAATTTTTCCTAATTTCTCCCCTGAATTTCTGCTGATGCAACTTGAAGCCACCCCACTCTGCTCAGCAGGCACCTGTGGGGCAGCAAAGTCTAATATAAACTCAGCAGCCCTGTGCTGCTGCAGTGCAATCCACCAGCTGCCCCTGCCTGACAAGGTTGGGAATGAATAGCAGTGCTCCTTAAGACTCTTTATTTAAGTATAAGCACTTCTGGTGGCATTCATCCTGCAGTGGAGGAGCTGGGCCCTTTTCTGGGTCCTCTCTATTGGGAAGACCAGCTGTAGATGAGAGAAAACAGTAAGCCTTCTCCAGGCCTGGAGCAGCAGCAGGCTCCTGGCCTGCAAGGTGCTTGCTGAGAACAAACTGAAGGAAGCTGTCTGCTGCGAACACTGAGATTGTTAGACTGAATGGAGCAACACACCCGGCTCTGACTGGGCACTGTCAAGTTAGTTCAGAAGCTGGCTCATCCAGCACTAAGATCTGGCACTAAGATGAGGAAAGTGTTGTCATGTTTAAACAGAGGGTTATAGAGTAGATGAATGAATACAGAAAAGTGACGTAGGCAGAAATCAGTGCAAATTTCTATCCTATATCAATATTCTCTTATGTTCTCAAGCAGCAGCTCTCACCTACAAACAGGCTCACCTACAAACAGTAACTTGCACATACAGTTCAGATCTTTAGTTGGCACAGGGCATGACAGTCAACATGAAATTATCAGTCGTCAAAAAAAAGGGAAAAAAATGAAAAACATTCAGGAAGGCTGAATCTCTTTGTGAGGCATCAAAAACAATAACAATACATATCTCTAGCAAATTTTCATCACAGACGCAGGAGAAAAAAACAACTACATTTTCTTACAACAGACAAGTTATCAGCTCAGGGAGGTAAAAAAAAAAAAAAAAAAAAAAAAGTGTAAAGGTGCACATCAAATATTTAGCACTTTCTTCTGTTTCTTATCTCATGAGTGGCTTGATGTTAACAGGCTGTTCCTCTCAGGTTAAGTCTCTATCTGAAATTCTACCACAAAAGCACCATTTCTTAGCTTTTGTTCTAAGTTGCCATGGAAGCAACAAAAAACTGTCGTGAAGAACAGAGTTTTGAGCAGAGTTTTCATCGGTGCTGACAGCCATCTTTCTGGAAAAGCCAATTACTGCATAGCTGTTCTTCCGTATCTGCTGCTGCTCTCCTCTTCAGAAACACCTGTAAGTACATCAGCTACAGCCCGTGCAAACACTACATATACAAAAGTGGTATTTATTGGAAACCATATGCAGTGTATACTGTTGCTTAAGACACTGTTGGTAGGTTCCTTTGTTCAGTTTCCTCTCTGCAGACCTGTGTTAATTTTAATTTCAAAGCTCCTCTGTGGTGAAGATTTATTTGTGTTTACTGGTTCTCCAGGTGTGCACAGACAGGAAGATGGGGAGCAGCATGGTCCAGAACAGGAAGAGAGGGTGCTTCAAGCACAGGAGACCATACACCGTGACATCCCAATCTGCTGGGCAACATGGAAGTCACAGCTCTTGACATGCTCCTTCAGCTGGGCAGACTGAATTACAGTGGAAGATTTGCTATAGTGAGTACGGTTCACATTAAACAACCGCGTGTTAATAAAGGTTGTGCAGCTCTGAAAGTGTCCTGGATTTTTGTTCTGTAACATCAAACATGGCCAGCAGTGTTACAGCAAAAAAAAACAAGGTGTGAACCAGTCAGACATCAGCTACATGCTCTTTCTCAGTGTCTAATAGGAATGGAGGAAGTACTGAGAAGCATTCAAGCAGTGGTGAGCAGACATAAAGGGTTGGCTGAACAATGGAAGTTACAGACAGAACCCAAAACCAGTTTGCTGTTACCTGTGATACAAAAGGGAAAAACAGTGCAGAGAACAACCAGTGACAGTAACATGAGATGTGGAACACAAACAAGTGTTGGGTAACTCAGCAGCCATCTGTAGAAGAGAACCAGCACCAAGTGAATACTAAGTCCAGCACCTAGTGAATACTAAGTTGTGATTTCTTCTCATTTCAGCATTGTTATTATTATTTTAGTGAGTACACATTTCCTGCAACTAACAGGACTAATTAACAGGTGTACCAAGACATAGAAGGAGTTGCTGACATTTGTTGTCTTCTTCAATCTCCTATCAACCTAAGAGCAAAGTTTTGCACAGCTATGCCAAAGTAATGACACAAGCCCCTGCTTGATACAAAGGAAGCAAAAGGCTTCACAGTGCTGCTGCAGTGAGAATTAACACTTCGAGAACTAGGAGGAAAACACCACCATTTTAAAAACTTCAAGTAAAGACAGAAAGCTTTCTTTAGGTTTGCAGGAATTCAGCTCTACTTACTGCCCATGGGCCCATGTTTTTTCTCCATCTTCACAGTGACCTCAGCCTCCTGCACTCATCATCAATGCTAAGCCAAACATCCACCACTGCATGTCCAAGAACACCACTTCCAGACCGTTTAGTTTTCTCGACTGTGAAGTTGGCTTATACCGAGGGTGGGGGAATAATATAAAACTTAAACTACTGCAGCTGAAATATATGGTAAATAAATGAATGTACTGCTTCAGTTTGTTACTATCACAGTGCACAGTGCGAACTGCAGAGCCCATGAAATCATAGAATCATAGAGTCATCAAGGTTGGAAAAGACCACTAAGGTCATCCAGTACAACAAACCCATCCCCACCAGACCCACTAGCCACATCCCCCAGTGCCAATTCTACACTTTTCTTCAACACCTTCAGGGACAGTGACTCCCCACCTCCCTGGGCAGCCTGTTGCAGTGCCATACCACTCCTTCTGAGAAAAAAATAGTTTCTGATACGCAGCTGCACCTTCCCAGCAGCAACTGATGCAGCAGCAAAATCATGCAGTGTGTGAACTGTGTAACAGAGGTTATCTTTTGTTCAAGACTCTGTTAGCGTGAATGTAGCTTGTTTTTGTAGCAGGCAATGTTAACCTGAATTTTCTTATGTCAGAAGCAGAGTGATGGAATGCCTCTGTTGTTTTAAATGTGCACTTGACAAGGTTTGCTTATCTGCCTCACAGAAAACAGCCTATCAGGAATGCAGAAATCCAGGTTTTACCTTTTTCAATCATGGTGCTCAGTTTTATACTGATGATTTTTGATTCTCGTTCTGCTTCTTCACTAAAACATCATTAACTCTTTACAAATATATGGTTCCTCATTCCTGAGCATCATATTTCTTGTCCATCTAATTCAATTGGTGTATTTATCACCCTTCCTGACTATTACTAGCACACAGGTTGAAATGTGATGATCCTGAGCATTTTCACTGCCAGGTGAGAAGTCCCAGCAGAGAGGAGATAACCACTAATTGTACTCCATCACCCGGCACACTAAGTGTAACTGCAATTCTGACATCATTTTGAAAAAGTTGAGATGTTTTTTGCCTTCTTTTGCTGTTTTTTATTCTTTGCATTCTCTTCCATGAAGTCTGCCTTGCACATAGCCTCCACAAAGTCATCTACCTTGCCCAAGTGCCTCACAGCAGAAAGCACACACACATCCCCATCTTTAATTCTGCACCGGCATTCTGTGCTGACACACGGGCATCATGTGGACAGGAGAACACTGCGGAAGGAGGTAATTTTGAAGGTCAGGCTGCCACTGATGATGTCAGTTTTTCACTGCCTGATGGGAAAGCAGACCACAGGCACAAGAGTTCTCTCAGCTCTGGGGAACATCACCTATTCAGCACTGACACGCTGAGCTCCTTCTAACTTTGCCATCAACCTGCGTCTGTCACTGCGGTGTTTAAGGAAGGGAGAACCATGCCAGTGAGTGTTAACCATCTCATGCAGAATGCCATGGACACTTTATTCGCAGCCCCAAATCTCATTCTCAGTCGGATTCCCAGGTACTCCTGTTTTTGCTTGTATCCTTTATGAAACACTTTATGAGATTGGCCACAGGCAGTCCTGCCAAGTCCCCAGAAGCTTATCTCCTACATCTGGTTACAGTTCAAAGATGATGATTATTTTCCTCTGAAGTGCTTCCCTAAATACTTCATGTCTGGTCTCTGTGTCATCTGTGCTAGTAAGTAAGAGCTCTTTGGACATCTCTCAGGATGCTTAAAGAGCATTGCAGGATAGGTTAAAAAGACCATAAACAATTAGCTAGCTCTGTTATTTAAAATAAAAGCATTTGATTATTAAATCTGCTTTTGCAGAAGATTTTCTAACATTCTGGAAATTCTTTTTGATGCTGGGGAGCTTCCAATTCCACTATGTTTGCATGTATTTTCCATTTTAGCATTAGGTATTCTCCATTTAGGTAAAATATTGGAAAACTAAAGAGATTTGATAGAGAAGAATCAAAATCTAGAATTATAGGGCATAATGCTCATAATCCTTCTTTTGGCATAAAGTTGAGCTGGGAAGTTAAGGATAAGCCTTTGACCAGATGTCTGCTCCTCTCCCAGCAGATCTTTATGGTAAGCCTCCAGCTTATAGAAAAGTATCAAGATGCCTCTGTACCACAACTATCACTGTTTATCAGTGTAGTGTGTAATACGTAGCTTAAGTGGCTCTGAAGAAGGAGTACATGCAGACAAAGAGGAAGGGTGTAACTTGGAATGCCTGAATTAAATATAATGAAAATACACAGATGCTATTTTGTTAGGATACAGTCAAAGCAATTACAAAACCAAGAAAACTCTCATTTTCTGTAAGAATGAGCCAAGAGATTTTTTTTTATTATTTTTTATCTCTTTATTTGACTTCAAAAAAATTCCATTAGTGATTCTTCTCTTCAGAAATCAGTAAGCTGGCTGCAAAGGTATGCATTTTGGTCTTGTACTACAGTAATAAACTCCTATCACATTGTATCTGTTATTCACACTGGAATCTTTTTCTCTTGTCCTGCTTTCAAAGGAAACTTTGAGATGGCTATCAATAAATAACACGATAAATTAAATAAACAGTCTATTATCTATTTTTCTTTTCATTGGTTGGTGAAAAATTTGCACAAACTGCACAGAACGAGGCCAGTAGAAAAAAAATACCACTTTCATTGTTCCACTGAGACAGATACAACATGCTGCTAAATATAGATTTTACAAAACTGCTGGCTTGTAAGTTCATAGGATTCATTTCCACTACTTCTCAGTGGCTCTTTCTCATCTGCCATGTCACTGTCTTTCATTTGTGCAAAATAAGCAGGAGAAGCTTTGCACTCTTGATGCCTGTCAAGAGACTTCAGGTGGATCAACATATGAAGAGTATAGGCGAGAACCAGCAGCAGAATCAGCGACATAACCAACCCCATAAGAATTGCTGGAGAGAAAAAGGATGCACAATCTTTGGCATAGGCAAAATGTCCTTCTTGAATGTTAAAACCTTGAATCTACAAAGAGAACAAAAGGGCTCATATTAAGTAAAATCTTTGCAAACAATTTTGTGAAGTTGCTCTGGTGCCACTGAAAGTTTTTGATTTAGTATCATCATCTTAAAAAATTAAATCTTGCAGTGGTATCTGGAGTTCATAGTGAGCTTATCCAGGTCAGTCTTCTGGAAACCAAAAGTTATTCTGATCTGCATCACTCTGTTGCCCAAAGGATTTGCAGTTCATATTTGAAACAAAATCTTCCACGATCACTCTCAATACTTTGGTCACATTTAATTGTAAGCGTGGTACCTTTCTGGTACAGTGCATTTCCAGTAACATTTGCTAAGAATTTCTAGACTCTGTTTCAAACTGCACAAATTTCAATGCACAAAACATGCATAACTGCCTACCCTAGTATTAGATTTTCATGGCCAGATTCAAGCAGCAATACCTGGTAACGAATCAGCCCAACTACAAGAAGGTGCATTCACCTATGGCCAGGACAAGTTTTACTTGTGGCTTCAGTTCCAGTGTGAAGTTCACCACACTGGCATTCACAGAGTTGACTGCTTCACTAAGATGGGTCCTTGGACATTTACCAAATGGGGACTAAAAGAAGTCCCGTGTCACTGCATTTACTTCTTATATTGTTCAGCTTTACCCTCGCAAAAAAAAAAGTACTGATGATGAGGCGGAGTAGAAGTACTCAGTGCAATCAGGGCTATTCGGCAATTTGGCTGGGATTCATCCCCTAAAACTTAGGTATCTAAAAGCAAAATATCCAAGCCGAGACATTTTAGAATCAACTATTGCCAAATTCAGAAATAATAGGCACTCTCAGCTGATGATTAATCTCATCCTATAATAAGGACTCAGGATGAGTCAGAAGAGTTATCCACTGGCTTTAGAGGCAGACTGGGGTGACTGTAACCAGAGCACAACGTTAACATTTCTTGTCTTCAAAAATTGAGTTAGATGAATCCCAACCTTGATGATTGGTTTTAAGAGTCCAACTCAGAGACATCTAATATCGACAGTTAATTTTACTTATTAAGAGGAAACACAAGCAAGACACTACAGAAAAGCTACATAGCTCTACATTTCCTTGACAGGAGAATGACTACAGTAATTTAAATGTCCATTTGCATTTAATTTGTTTAAAGTTCTGTGGAGGTTAGACAAATTGTACACAGGAGATTATAATACTTTCTTGGAACTCAAGTACAGAATTTCCCATCAGTCTACCTTTGGAATCCATTTGGCCTAATTCAACAGCATTACCTGGAAATCAATGAAAGTAACTTCCCAGAGCTTTGAAACATCATTTGCAGAGCTCGGTATCAGGAGGGCATCATATCTCTGCAAGCTGCTCACGTGTTCACAGTGGAAGGAGTAACTTGCTGGTGCATATATTCTTGTTGCATTAAACGTTGCTTGTACGGAGTGGTTGTAAATAAGCTGCAGTCTCTGTAAGCTGAACCAGTTCTGAACAGACAGCTGGTAATAGCTGGTTGTTAGTAACAATCTGAAAATATTTTATGGGAAAAAAGAAGAATACAATAGCAAGTCTTAGAGTTGAAACTATTAGGTCCACATCTGATAATCTTAGAAGACCAACCAATATTATCAATTTCCTCCATTTATATTACTGCAAGCTCTCATAAGTCTGGAAAATAATTTGTGGTTCTTCAGTACTGTAGCTAAATGATTTTGTTGCTCTTCCCCACAGTGAGGAGAGCAGCAAGAGATTTTCAAAAAAAAAAAAAAAAAAAGAAATCTGTATCCAACGTTGGTATTCACTTCCAGCAACAACAGAGGAAGTCTGTCAAACCTTGGTCTGCTGATACATATGCTCATATGCCTGTAAGGCACTTCCTGAAGACTCCAGTGATCACTTTGAGATGTGATGCAATTCACAAGAAAACAGTATAGATTTTATAGACATCAATGATAACACTTCATATGTGAAATGTGTTTCTCATTCCAAATGTACTAAATTGTTGTAATGGAAAAGGTAAACTTTTCTTTTGTTAGTGCTGTGTACTGTTGTTTCTTACAGTTCCTCAGGCTTCACAGAGAACACTACAGGTTTGTTACATACTCTGAGATGCTTACCTATTTTAACTTTAGTCATGACACAGTAAATTAATAAGAGTGCATAGATGTGGAAGAAAAAAGGCTAAATCAATATGATCCAGTATACACTCAATTTATGCATGGAGTCTTGGTAAAATACCACCACATACAAAAATTATTTACCAGGAAATGCTGTTTTCTTTGGTCACCAAGAAGCAAACATGAAGTAGGTCACAGTCTGATGCCTATGCAGCCTACACTATCAGTTTTTTTCAACAAAATTTGCAAACAAAAAGTTAGCTAATCAGCAGAGTCTAAGAAATATCTGAGACTACTCAAATGAGATGACATGAACTTTTCTCATGCATAGAGAATTCAACATAGAAGAAAAAAATGCTGTAAGAAAATACAATAGGCAAATAATACAGCTGAAAATGACAGCTCTGTTAAATGCAAATGTCTTCATTATATCACAGTATCATAAAATGTTTGGGTTGGAAAGAAGATAATTGAAGATAATCTAGTTCTGAGCCCTCTGCCAAGGACAGGGACACCTGCCACTAGCTCACCATATCAGCAGTTCTATTACATCATTTTTTCCATCTCTCCCCCCAAAAAATCACACAAATAATTGCATACCAAAGATACTATTTGTATCTTTGATTGTGTAATATTACTCTTTATCATAATACTTACCTAATAACAAGACCCTTTAGATTTCCAATATCACCAAACTTCAGAGAAAGCCTAAGTCAAAAAGTAAGTAATGTCAGGCTAGACAAAAACTTCAAAAGTCTTAAGAGAAAAAACAGCATAGAAAATTAAGCACAGTTACAGACAGTCTTTTACTCAGTATACCTTTAAAATCTGTAGAAAAAAGCCTGCAATTATTAGATCTCCCTCCACTGAAATCCTGTAGCTTATATGTTAATTTGAATGAGGCCTAGACTTTCCACAAAGAACACAAGATATTTAAATCCCGCTGTTTCATCCTCAGTTGATAATTAGGTGCATTTGATCTATGCTCACCTTTTCAAGTCAAAAGGCTGATTTGTAATACATGTATTGGTCAAGTGTAACCTATACATGTCATTAAAAAGAGCTACATGTAGATAGGCATGTAATCCTCATCTTTTTAGGTTCTAGAGTATAATAAAAGCAGATAGTATGGAAATTCGAATTTTACACATATGCCTCTGTACAGCAACATAAATACACTGGCTGTGAGGTAGCTCTACAAAGCTTCTGTGCAGTCATCACAGGCAACTAAAGTGAAAGGCCCTAGCACATACAAAACTAATCAGAAACATACTGCAAACTATTTTATACTTTTTGTGAGCTTCTTCAGATGCTGAAAATTGCAGAACTTGTCAGCACCGAATGAGTATTCTGGACACTTCTTCCACAGCGAATATGTATTAAATTATTGTACAAGATGATACAAGCCAGTTGAATCATTGAGTAAACTTACATAACAACTCAATAACAAAAAGTGCATTTCTTCACAGGGACATACATATGTAGGTAGGTCAACACATTACCTGCAATCACTGCATTGTATTCACCCAGGTGCGCAATTGAAACACAGCTTGCAATTTGATTAAATATGTGTGGTGGGCACAAGAGGCGGAGCCAGCTGCACTGAACCCACCCTTCTGCAGCACTTTGTTGTTACCCACACAGTCCATGCTTGAACTATACACAACTCATAAAAATTACCACTACAAATCATGTAACAACATTAAAAGGTTCTGATCACGTGGAGCCACATTACTAGCCATCGAGGGCCACAAGTGGGTTGCCTTCTCCTCCATAACTACACCTTTCCTTGTTTTATTACAAAGGCATATCATAGTCCAAGGATAGACACATCACAAAAGAAGATTAGACACTGGCAAATAAGACATGAATTTAGTTGCTTGATCCAGGAATTGGTACATAAAAACCAAACCAACAAACCACCCTCTAGTTTATTATATTAAATTTACACAGTAAATGCATATGCGTTTGTAGCCAGGTCCTGGCTCCAGCTACTTTGCATTGATCAGGCAGTATAAAGCTATTATGAAGCTAATCCAAAACCACAGCACAGGATTGTCTTAGCAAAGAAGGCGTCAGACAAGAGAAGTTTAAGGGGCTTCTCTGGGTGAGAAAAACAGGACAATTCATCATGTGAGCACTCAGACAGATAATCCACTAAGTTGGTAAGCCACTATCCATCATATCTGATAAGCCATGGTAGTCGGGTGAAATTCCCAGTGACTGGAAAAGGGGAAACGTAGCCCTAATTTTTAAAAAGAGAAAAAAGGAAGACCCAGGAAGTAGAGGCCAATCACTCTCCCCTCTGGGGAGACCATGCCTGGGGAGACCGTGCCTGGCAAGACCATGGAGCAGATCCTCCAAGAAACTACATTAAGGTACGTGGAAAACAAAGAAATGTTGGTTGCCACCAACCATGGGTTCACTAAGGGCAAACTGCGACCTCATATGAGTGTTTACAGCATTGCTGGATAAGGGAAGAACAACTGACATCTTCTACCTACAAAGCATTTGACATTGTACCACATGACATCTTTGTCTCTAAATGAAAGCAACATAGAGTTGACAAATGAGCCACTCAGTGGAATTGGCTAGCTGGTCGCACTCAAGGAGTTGAAGTCAGTGGCTCCATGTCCAGGTAGTGATAAAGGGTGCTCCTCAGAGGTCCATATTGAGTTTGGTATTATTAAACATCTTTGCTGGTGACATAGACAATGAGACTGAGTGCACTCCCAGCAAGTGTGCAGATGACACCAATCACAGCATCATAGGATACCCCAAGTTGAAAGGGTTCCATAAAGATCAACAAGTCCAACTCCTGGCACCACAGAAAGATCAGACTGCATGACTGAGAGCATTGTCCAGACGCTTCTTAAACTCCAGCAGCTCGGTGCCATGACCACTGCTCTGGGAGTTCATTCCAATGCAGTCAGCTCACTGCATCACATCAGAGGGACAGGATGCCATCAAGAGGGACTTGGACAGGCTTGAGGGACCTGGATGCCTATGTGAACCTCCTGGAATTCAACAAGGGTAAGTGCAGAGTTCTGCAGCTGGGTCAGAACAATCTCAATTATGAATACAGGTCAGAAGATGAGTGGCTTAGGAGCCACTTGAGAGTACTCCCTGCAGTACTTAGGAGTACTGGTGAATGAAAAAGTGAACAGGAACGAGTAATGTGCACTTGCAGCAAAAAACATCAACTGTGTCCTGAGCTGCACTAAAAACAAAAGGTGTCGCTGGCAGGTTGAGGGAGCTGATTGTCCCTGTCTACACCACTTTCAAGAGATCCTACCTTGAGCACCCTGTTCAGCCCTGGGGCTCCTAGCACAAAGAATACATGGATCTGTTGAAATGGGTCCTGAAGAGGCCACAAGGATGCTCAGAGGGTGGAACACCTCTCCAATAAAAAAAGCTGTGGAAACATCTCTAGGATATTAAAAAAATGCATACCTTCCTAGTATGGCTATGGAATGGGAGGATTTGGGATCCAGTTAGGTTAACTGGTAGGAGCAAGGGAATGAACTGTTCATCCTAGTAATTCATGCCAGAATAGTATGCAAACCTGTAGTTATTCCACCTTTAAGAATCAGCAATTCGTAAATCACATTCTGCAACAAGGGGCTACTTAAGTCTCCCTAAATACATAAGTGCATCTTTATGCTGTAAACAATAATGGCACATATCCTATGTGGAAGTAAGTAGTCCACCACCCAAAGTCGCATACAGCCAGCCTCTAAATCCTGACATTTAGCATAGGGCCCATTATTCATTTTCCCAAAAAACTACTGAAAATAGCTCGATACTGAAGAGATCAATAGCTCCAATCTCACAGATACTAATGGGAAACTGGCTGGCCACAAGGACTGACATTAGTGAAGATGAAGATAGACATGTATGTCTATATGCTGTATGAAGCATTTATCTGAAAGCATCTAATGCACACTGCTTTGCTGGCTGCAATGCGCCTTGATGTACTGGGGCTCTATACTACATATTCCGAGGTTTGTTTCTTCAATATTTACTTACTAGACTTGTTATCTGGTACTATTTCACTGACATCTTACATTGCATTGTCTTCACTGCAGTTTGAATCTCCAACATCCACTGTTGCATGGACACCAAATGTCTTCTCTGTCAAATCCAGCTGTGTGTGGTTTTCAAACTTAATCATGATCCTCTTGGCCCAGAAGAGAATGCAAGGGATGCCATTAACTGTGACATTGAGAGGGCTGTAGTGGCTGGGGGTGAATGGCCTCCAGGATGGTCTTTCCAGCTGCTCCTTTCTGCTCAAGTTGTAGCTGACAACCTGAAGGATCATAACATAAATATCAAAAGGAGGGTACTGCAAGAGACATTCTCCATCCTACAATAAGGTAACCACTTGGAAAGCATTGCTAGAGCCAGGTCTTAGCTGCAGCAGTACTGAGGTAGGAATGCACAGACTTACCTGTCTCACCCCTCCCAACACTGGGCAATGTACCATACAGACCTTTAGCTCCAACACAACTGGCAAGATAGCTAATATAAGCTAAAGTTGTTTTTCTAGTCACTCTACAGAAGTATTATTAGAGTAACTGACATTTTTTTATCCCACCTCAGCCCAATACAAGAAGATGAAGCAATCACAAGCTGCTCACCCCTGCAAAAGGCTCTCTAGGACTCAGCTGCGGCAAAGCATACAGCCTACCATACCAAAAACAATTTAGGCAGCTCTAAAGGTGGGAAAAAAAAAATCAACTTTAAATTGACCTTAGACAGTTGGGCCTGTATCATGGCTCAGTGTGGATTTCTGCTTTTACAGAATCAGCAGTTCATAACATTAAACGCTGGGAACTGCAGCTTCCACCATGTTCTCAAAAGAAGTCAGAGAAAAAATCCTATCCCCTCTGCACCAAAGAAAGACAATTTGACTGTGAGATTATATGAAGTGAGACAGTAAGTTAGGGTTCAGAAAGGATTTCAAAATTTGTCATTTTCGTATTTTAAGATTTACAGATTTTAGCTCTTTTTCAACTATGCATGCATCCCATCTAAACATAATAATGCATGTAACGTCTTCATGGCTGTTTCACATTCAGCAAATTCAAAGCATGAACAAAAACAAAGCAGGTATTCTTTCTAAGTCTCAGTCACAAACAGCACCTTATCAGGCTCCAGAAGGGACACGGTTAAGCCCCAAAGCTTTGTCTTGGCTTAAAGAGATGGGTTTTTTTTTTGCTGTTAAGATTAGCAAATCACATCTCCCAGCTCAGACCCTGAAAGACCCTTTTGATACTTGACCTCACATATAGCACAAGGCTGCTTTAGGAATTAAAATTAGTAAGTACTCACAGCAACAAGCAGAAAGCAAGGTAAGATCAGCAAGAAACACTGACTATGAATGTTATTTGGATAAGTAATAAGGCTGTATTCTCAGAATTACCAATAAAATAAATTTTATAAACAACGTATTTACATTAGAATGCATCACCTGCATGGTTTTTGATAGTGGAGCCTTTTCCTCTTCATTTCTGACAAGACCCACAGAGTGGACTCAGAAAATACTGATGGAATTTAAACAATCAGTTTTGCTTCAGATATTTTTTTTGTACCAAGCAAAATACTGGGCTCTGCAGTCAAATGCAATTGTACAGAAGAGGAGGAGTACAATTTGGTTCTTCTAGAACAACCCTGTGCCTGAGCCCAGTGACAGCACCAGCAATGAAGCCTTACCTCACTACTTAGAAAAGCAGAGACACTGAAATGCATGTTGGAAATCAGTAGCACACCATAATGACTCAGAATTTTGTTGGCTATTTCCTGTAAATAATAGACTATTTTATTCAATAATTTAAGTTAAAAGATCTCAGCATGTTTCTGAAGGAAAAAAAAAAAAAAAAAAAGAAGACAAAGCTTTTCCAATACAGTTCCTGCAAGCATTACCTGTGCAATTGCCACTTGATTTACATTCAATTTTGGCTTCACACCACCATCATAGCGTCGACCTGCAGATAAAAGTGTGTTATGAACCCACACAGAATGCATCCACTCATTGTACAACCATAATCTTGCACATTCTGGCACAAGTAGCCTTGAACAAAATCTCTTATTTTGTTTTGGCAAATATGTGTCTCGATGCAAATATCACCTTCAACATCCATCTTATGTTTTAGTTTACCTTGCTCATAAAATAAAGTCTCCTATTCAGTGAATATTTTGCCATCCTAGCTGGGAAGAACTCCAGTGGCCAAAAATGACAGGATTTAGCCTATCCATGTATACATGTGTATACATCTCACACTTAATAAACCCTTACTTTTTCTTTATGCAACAAGCTATTTTCAAAGTGTGTGTGTTGAATTACAAGGCAAGAGCCTGTGTATCCATGTATACATGTGTATACATCTCACACTTAATAAACCCTTACTTTTTCTTTATGCAACAAGCTATTTTCAAAGTGTGTGTGTTGAATTACAAGGCAAGAGCCTGTGTATCCATGTATACATGTGTATACATCTCACACTTAATAAACCCTTACTTTTTCTTTATGCAACAAGCTATTTTCAAAGTGTGTGTGTTGAATTACAAGGCAAGAGCCTGTGTAGGAGTTTCTTTCCCTGCAGGGGACAGAGATGGGAACCTGTGACAAACAGATGGCCTGTCTATCTTCACTGTCAGGACAGTAAAGATTTGTAGGAGTGAACTCGCTTCACAGACTTTCTCATATCTTCACCCTTCAAACACTTAGCTCTGTTTTCATCTGGTTTAAAAAAAAAAAAGACAACAAAGAAAGAAAGAAAGAAAAAAAAAAAGAAGACTTCTTTGTTCTATATTCTCACTATATTTCAAAGTCAATTAATACATGATTGTTTTAACCAGGCAAATCCCTTAAAGGATATCTGTTAAGGGTAGATACGTTTTAATGGAACATTTGACAAAACAGTCAGCAATACCAGAAGGAGCAACTCCTGGGAATGAAGATTTTTTACAGCTGCTCTGTCAAAGCCAGCATCCAGGCATTTAGCCCACTGAAAGCCTTACCAGTTCTTTGCAGAGAATCTTGATCTGAAACTACATGTGAACTAGAAGAGAAGAGAAAAATATTTACTTTACAGCATCTGAAGTCTCCAACAGGTTCATTAGGAAGAGTTCCTGCTGCTATGTTTCATTCAGTATAACATTCACAATAAAAAAATACTTGAAAAGACGCATGCAAAGACCAGAACAGTGTAAGGACAATGAGCAAGAGCGATACCAACTTAAATGTCTTCATCTTAGCGGCAGAATGGTGTGAGACACAGCATCATAAACTCATGTAGAAGGAACAGAGCAGCCTTGAAATCCATTTCTATCATGTCTAAGCAGTTCTGGCAGCAAGGGAATTTGATCCTTCTGCACCTGGCTCACTCAAAACTGTACCCATGTAACTCCATGAGCCAGCAGAATGCCCAGAGGGCCAAGACCAATAGCATCCTGGCTTGTATCAGAACTAGTGCAGCCAGCAGGAGCAGGGAGGTGATCATCCCCCTGAACTCTGCTCTGCTGAGGCCGCATCTCAAGTACTGTGTTCAGTTTTGGGCCCCTCAGTACAAGAAAGTCATCAAGGCTCTGGAGTACGTCCAGAGAAGGGCAGTGAAGCTAGTGAGGGGTCCGGAGTACATGATCTGGGGGAGCACTGAGGGAACTGGGTTTATTCAATCTGGAGAAAAGGATGCTTGGGGAAGCCCTTATTGCCCTCTACAACTCCTTGAGAGAAGGGTGTAGCAAGGTGGCGAGTGGCCCCTTCTCCCATGTAACAGTGATAGGACAAGAAGGAAAGGCCTCAAGTTGCACCAGGGTAGGTCCAAGCTGGACATTAGGAAAAAATTTCTTCTCAGAAAGAGTGATGAGGTATTGGAACAGGCTGCCCAGGGAAACGGTGGAGTCACTGTCCCTGGAAGTGTTCAAAAGAAGAGGGCAGATGTGGCACTGAGGGACATGGGTGATGAGCATGTTGGAGGCGGGTTGATGGTTGGACTGGATAATCTTAGAAGTTTTTTCCAGCCTTAACAATTCTATTATTCTATCATCTCACACATAACATCTTGTTTACACTCATGGTTTGGAAGGGCAAGAGGCTCCTTCTTGTGATCAGCGCCTCCCTAGCAAAAGCATTTTTTCATAGACATACTCTGTGCTGTCAAGGATAGACCTGTTGTGCACCCCTGCAAACTCCTCAAACCCAGAAGGCAAAACAGAGAAAAGTGAGGGGAGTTCATACCCCAGCTTGTCACTTTGTCACCAAACACCAGGCCTGATGAGCAGCTCTGCTCCTGACCATACAGGTCGCTCAGTCCCTTTAGCAACCAAGGCAATAAAACAGAAAACAGTCCCCAGAGAAAATATGACACAGTACAAAAAGACAGCTACGATCTGCAGCACAATGCAGTGATTCTAATCTGAGCTGAATGAGCCAAAAAGATCTTATAAGAAGTTCAATATAGATAACATTGTTCAAAATCAGTTTGGCAGTTTTAATTAAACAAAGTGAGCCCAGCTCTTCCTCCAGTCAAGAGCTGTTAAATCCCACAGACTTCAAAAAGATGGTGCACTTTCAGCCATTCTCACCACGTTTCTGAGCCAGGTGTTAGTGCTAGGATAGTTCTTTTAAACCACTGCTTCACAAGAAAGGAGCAGAAGCAAAGTAGTTTTGCTGTATCTACTGAACCTAAACAATCCAGAGCATAATTCCAAAGCAAATTTGTTTACTGTAACTTCAATAGGATCCCACTGAGATGCATGTACTGGACGTATACATCAACCGCCCTTAACCCAAGACTCACTCTGGCCCAACCTGCACCAGAAAGACATGGTTAGATCACACAGCAGACTTCAGCATCTCCAAGAGTCCAGTGCAAGGAACAAAAACTGGCAGTCTCAAGATATGACCATAATAGATTTAATTTTGTTGTCTTGACCAGACAAAGCTCTCTCTAAGCTTCTTTACTGACTAGGAGCACAGGCTGTGTCATTTGGGCCCAACGGTAATTTCCTCTCTCTGTTTTTCAGGATGGATTGTGCCTTTGGGACAGAGAAGGCAGTAGATCATCTGGGCATTTTTTCTTAGTAAGAGCTATAAAAATGAGGCACACCAAAAAGAAATTGATGTGAATTATTTAGATACTAACTCTAGTTATATTTGGTTGTGTCTATATATATTTGTTAGTTATACACTTAGCTTCTTTGCATATGCTTAGTTAAAAGCTCAAGGCCCATTATTCCATTTGGAAACTGCCATGCTGAAGCAAGTAGACTAAAACTAGGATGTGAGGAGACAAGTGAAATTGCATAATTCAGTTAATTTCATCACTGAGAGGTTTTTATGTTGGTCCGAAAGAGAAATGGTTGGTTATGGTATTACGAATGTTGATAAGAAAGTCATTACTTATCTCCCATCTGGGATAATGCTAATACCACGGCCATGCCAAGTGGTTCACCTAAAGGAATACTAATTGATAAGCAATATCAAGCCCTCAGGAGAACAAAGAACGAATGAACATATGAGGCAGCATACTCGTGACAAAAAACTCCGCAGGTTATACCTTGAACACAGATACAAATGCCCTCCACATAGACTGTGAGGCTCAGGCTGAAGTCTGTGACAATGCAGTCTGACGCCTTCACTTCACATGCAATAAACCACAGCAATGCATAGCCATGCTACTCCTGAAGGCCAAATTGCTTTTTCCAGCACAAAGATATTCAAATATAGATGAATGTGCACAGCTGATGAAATATTCATGCTTGCATGAGGAACGCAGTATAGAGCGCGACCCAGGAATCACCGCTAAGTACCACAGTATGACAAATGCTCTCAGCCACATGGCAGTCTTCTCACACACTTGCAGGCAGAGGCAAAGGAGCAGAACGCCTCCACCTCAGTACAACTTTTTCTTACCCTGCTCACCAGCAATGCCAGCTGCCTACCATGTGAAACCCGACTAAAGGGTTTGCTTTGTCTCACTACAGCCCAACTTCTGTGGCACAGACAGTGGTATATGGTAAGGATCGCCTCCGTTTCTCTGAACAGAAAAAATCTGACAGTTTTATCAGGTCCATCAACTGCATTTGACATTTATAACCCTGAGGTTTCATGGAAGCATGTCATCTGTGACAGAAACAGGTGGCCTTCAATTTGACACATCCCAGTGTCAAATCAGAGGCCCTTTCAGCCAAGACCAATTGAGAGGTGATTTCTGGCAGCCAGTTGCTTTTGCCCTCATAAGATGAAAGCATTGTAAGAAATAATGGGAAAAGTTAATGGTGAAATAAGAGCACATATTTGCTTGTATACACAAAACATTAACTACAGTAAGGGGAGAAAGGAAACTACCTCTAGCTAGCCCTGGAGCTTTCTTCTCCACTGCCTGCAAAACTGTCAATAGAGGGGCTGCGAATCAGTAAGAGCAAATCTTTTTAGCAAACAAAAACATACACATGACTTATAAAAACGTAATTCTTTTTCAGCCATTCTGCCCTACAGTAATTTCAAATTCAGGAGCACATACAGTGTATGATGTGAGGACTAACGTATTTCTTTACCAATTCAGAAATAACTAGCCCAGACATACGCAGGCAATATGCTGTATGTTGAACTTATCATTCTTAGTGTGTCAGGAGCCCACATGAAATTGGCTTAGCCCTAATACAAAGCACTGGGATGACTAATCACTATGTAAAACCCAATTAAATAAGATTATAAGAATAAAGAAGTGTAAATTCCCTCTTATCAGACAACCTTATCCATCTACATAAGATAATAAAGTCTAACTTTGTATCTAAAATGTTCATGTATATTCCACCCCTTGAAGACTCTCATGCGAGCGGCCTTTTGGCCGCTGAAGTGATCAAAATAAATAACCTGGAATGCAAAAATAATCAAGTGTGGAGGCCATACTTTTCATGCTATCAGCTTACAATGTTTCAGGTGAAGCAATACAAAGGCTGTCGTTTACTTTTCATATCACTGCTCTCACAAACTGCATCAGGTGCCAAAATATACTCCGCTGCAGTATTTACTCCAATCATCACTCGCTCGCGTTGTGCAGATGCAGACTACCTCACTGACTGCAAAACTGGTCTCAATCACTTATGAAGTATTTATCTGAAAAATAATGTGAACCTTCCCACTCATTAAATATGAAATTATAATGACCAAAGGAGAGGAATGCTTACTGAGCAGCTGGCAGCAACAGCCAGATTGTAGTCCCAGGGATGCTGTTCATATGTAGTATCTCCACAGTTATTAAATCATAATTGTGAGTCACATTCAAAGTAAAATCCAGTTCCTCCTAAGAAATGTACCTAACAAAAACTGTAATTAAATTTAGAATATATCTGCTGAAATTATATCATTAAAAAAATCTACAAAGCCTGCATCTCTTTACAGATTTTAAATATTTAGTGTCACATTTGGGTAGCTCTATTTGTGATGGAACATAGGGAGACAGATTTACATAATTATTTTATTTTGCACTGAGTATTGTTTGATCTGTACTTTTATAGAGTTAGGACCTACAAAAAATTATAGTTTTGAATACCAATAACAAAACTGAACTCGCAGAAAGTCTGGTGAATTATAGGTATGATCTCACCTCCACTGAATGCAAAAGTTGAATTCCCATTCAATTCAACAGCAATAGAAGCACAACTACAGTTCCTAACTTTTATTAGAATAAAGTTCATGCAATGTTTCACTCTCTTGTCTCAAATTTTGATCTGATAGCAAGGAAGTGCAATCATTTTAAGAAGGCACCAACAAATCTGAAAACTGGCAGAGTAGAACAAGAAGTAAGCTATTTAAATGAAAACATGCTGTAGCACTTACTGGTAACTGACTACCAGCTCTCGTAATACAAGCTTAAGCAAATCACCACATGTCCTTCTTGCCAGCAGTGATCTTCATCAGCATATTTGATATTTGCTACTAGTGACTTGGGGACATGATTCAACATACAGTTTAGGCTCTTTATACTTTTATAATGCTTGGCATTAGAAAGTCCTCTTTCTTTTAATTTGGGCTTCCTATTAATACTTCACTAAGTTAAAAAATGACACAATAAACAGCAATGAATCCAAATTCCTTCCAATTTCTTAACCGTAAGACTTTTTAGCAATGCTGAATTCACGTTTCTGCACAAGTAGAATATTTTAGCATGCATGTTTCATGGAGTAGTTTTCACACCCTTCCTGCTATTCTATTTCTTAAATAAAAATAAAAATAAATAAATAAACAAATAAAATAAAAGAATAAAAGAATGAAGTAGAAAAAGGCCAGGGAAAGTCAAAGCAAGAGAGTTATGAGCAAGAGAATCATTAAATGTAAGACAGATGCTCAGAAAACATTCATTTTAAAACCATTTTTAGTGTTACACATAGAATTGTTTTAAAGTTGTTTTCTTACACGGCGTAGGCTTCAAAATTTCTACTAATTTCTACATTCACCCCAGCTGTTCTCTGAGAGGAGAACTGAAATCATGCCCTGACATTCCAAACCACAGCAAGATCTTCCACACGACACACACCACTGAAGGTCCCCCTTCAACACACGCACCCAACTTCACCAAGTCAGCAAGCGCTCCATCACTCACCTGCCATCCACTGTGGCTAGCGTTTGTTCCACAGCTGCTGCGAAGCCCAGACACGAGAACAGAACGAACAACTTAAGTGCGGCGTTTCTTTCCATGGAGAAGGGCCGATGCCTCCACACCGAGCACATTCGCTCCTCTGGGCTGGGGAGGGCTGCGCGGCCCCGCACGCCCGGCGGTGTGATGGACAGCAGATGCAGCCAACGAGAGCCGTCTCTGCTCTGGTACCCGGCGGGAGAAAGTCTCTGTGTTCCTGTGTTCACACGTACACTGACTGCATGCACCGACAGCAGGCACGGCCCATGTCCCTGCGAAAGATCATTGGTTTGGGGGGAAAATGTACTGGGATGTGCGAGATGTCTTTCAGGAAGAAAAAAAAAAGAAAGAGGGAAAAAAAAAAAAAAAAAAAAGAGAGAAAGAAGAAGGAGAAAAAAAGAAAGAAAAAAAAAAGGTTGGTTCTACAAGCTCTGACTACACTAAAGCTGCACTGAGCAGCTTGTTATCTAAGCCTTACAGAAGGGTAAAATTATGTTTCCAAACAGCTCATAAATTTTCCTATCTGTATAATTTAATAAGGATTATTTGTATTCTAAAGAAGATTTACAATACCTTTACAGTACTAGTGCTAGCTCCATTTTACTGATGGGGAATTAGACTTAGCTCAGAAGTCAAACATTCAGAGTTGGTTAACTTCAGTTTCACTCAATTTGTGTGCACCCGCCTCTCTGGTTAGATGTTTACATACCCACAGACAACGCAAAGCAGAACTAACATTGCCAGATGTCCACAGAATGACAGCACCTCCGTTTGGGAACTGTCAGACTGAGGCACCAGGGTCCACACGTAGCACAGGCTGGATCAGGTTGTTCTGACGAGGACACCTGCTTCTACAAGACCTCTGTCCTCATGTGACTCAACAGAACGGACTTCCAAGTTGGACATTAGGAAAAATGCCCTCACTGGAAGAGCGGTTGGGCGTTGGAACAGGCTGCCCAGGGTGGTGGTTGGAGTCACTGTTCCTGGAAGTCTTCAGGAAACATGGAGACATGGCGTGGATGGACACAGTTCGTGGGCACGGCGCGGATGGGCTGAAGTGTTGGACTCAATGATCTCAGTAGTCTTTTCCAACCTCAATAATTCTATGGTTCTATGACTGCAGTTCTATCTGTGCGGGGTAAGAGGAGGGTAGGGCACAATGATTTCTCAAACCTACCGTCCATGCGCTTTCTTTACATAAACTCACTAACAGCAACTTGTAATCAAAGCATCTACACAGGGAAAGCTGAAGTAAGGGTGCTTTCTTCTGGATCCACTGTCAAAACCGTGCTCTTCCACCTGCTCACATTCGGTCTGGCCTCAGTCATGAGCACAGCTACGACTGGTGATCAAATTGAGAAAAAACCTCTGACAGAAATGCCTTTTTAGTGTAGCTTTCGGCATCGGCAGCCCACTCTTGAAAGATCAGTCTTGAGAGGCAGTTCAGACCAGCGCTCAGCTCACATTTGCAGCCACGTCCACTTAAATAACCAGGCAGGAGATAGCCACAACCAGTTGCAGCCAACAGCTGCCTTTATGCATCTGTGTATTAATGTTCATACACCATACCCAACCAATACCCAATCTACACCCAACCTTAAGGCACGTTAATGCCTTGTGTGGCAGCTAATGTAAGCTACCCACTGATGTGATCACAGAATAAGACCTACTTCACTGATTAAGAGCTCCTGTCTATTGCATTCCAGATACAAGATTAAGATAGGGGCTTTAGCACTGCAACTATTCAAAAGGATTTCCCATCTTAATTTCTCTTTCAGGGATACAGAGACTACTCACTAATCTTAAAAATCTCTCAACAGCTTGTCCAGAGCCATGCTGCTTCTATCCAATTTAAGGTGGAATCTAAATACTTACGAGAATCCTCACATGAAAAATGAGGTGAGAGCAGTGAAAAATAATGAACAAGGGACAATAAGCTCAACATTTTCCATGAAAAACCAGAAATTTCTGATGCCAAATGCAGAATAAATACACCAGTAAAGAGAAGTGGCTGCGAACTTTATGAAATCATGAAAGGAGGCAGAAGTGTCACACACATTTCTAAAAATTAGTAAGCCACAAAAAATAAAGGATGTTAAATTCTCTAGTATCCCTGAACATAGTTCCTTTTAAACAAGTTTTTGAGTTTTTTAGCTTTTTTTTTTTTTTTTTTTTTTTTTTTTTTTGCTTGTTTGTTTTGTTTTTAAATAAAAATGCAGTCTTCCTATTTGTACCTTGGATTTCACACATGTGGGTATTTTGTACATGTTCATTTTTCACTGGTACAGGAGCAAATGCTAAGAAAGAAAAATGCTGAAATACAAATTCTTGCTGCACAGACTAACAAACTGTGTGTCCTCTGAGGTGAGAAAGGGAGATAAAATGGTATCAACAAGACTTGGCAGACCACAGCTAAACTAAATCTCTATAGGCTGAATTCAATGAAAAGTCCATTCTCTGTCAACAGAATGTATATTTAATTGTTCTTCTGCCAGCATATTTCTGTGGGGCTTCCAATCTTACAGAGAAAATGCTTTTTCAGTCCATGTTTCACAGAGAGAGGAGAAAAGTACATATGAGTGTGCTCAGACATAAGGTTCTTTTCAGACAACTAATAGAACACATAATGCCAAACCGCTAACATAGTTAAACCAATATGAAAATATTCTGACTTTCTCACTACATACTACTAGCAGATGCTTATAGGAACTCACTAACTAGCAGTCATCACTTGACAAACTGAGAGAAGGAATGAAGAGAAGTCTTTCCTTACCTCTTGGCATTTGCTGATAATATAAAGCATTCTATGCTATTCTTAAAAAGGTTCCTTTTGGTTGAACTTCAAGAAAAAAAAGACTAAACTGAAAGCAAAGAAGCCATCCTATGCATACACTTTGTTCCGGTGAAGAATTATGACAAACATCCAACTCTGCAACAAAATTTCTATGAAGCCTGTAAAGGAAACTTTTTGAATGGAGCCTCTATGCAGGAGTCTTGATTAGATGAGCTCTTGTGATTTGGTTGACAAGCTACTGTGTATATTTGCATGTTTTATGTTGAAATCACACAGACAAGCAAAGCTTAATCAAATGTACCTTAATCTGCAAATATATACATACTCAGTGGACAAAGGGTGAACAAGGGATCATGTGCAAAACCCAAATTCTGTTTTATGGAACACACAAGGTTGCATTCAGTTCCATAAATGCATCCAACAAACTTCCTAGGGGAATAACAATAACGGTTTTGTCTGCATCTCGCAAGAAGGACTATGGTGGGCTGACTGGCTACTATTTCAAATAAGAAAAATAAAATACTGTTTTATTGTCATGATTTCTCCATCTGACAATAAGATACTGCTTAGGATTACTCTTCAAGCAAAACTTCTCCTTGGGATGATTAAGCTGCTATCACTCATTTATTTCTTAGCAACGTGGTATTTCAAACACCTCTGCTGCAAAATGAATAGCAGTCAGAGGGAAGACACAGATCTCATTGTGCCTCTTTTTGGATCTGCTCTTACTGCTCTTATTGTTTGGGATTTATCTTGCAGAAAAGGTAGTTAAGAAAGCAGTTGGCAATGCAGAGAAGGATTCAGAGTTTCATGTGGGTTGTGAAGCAAAAAAATCAAAGACCGATAGGTAAGCCAATCAGCATTCCTGGCCTTCCACACACCCCCAAGTGTGTCACCACAGTTCAGCAAGCCTTCTGTCAAAGAAGATGATTACATAAATGTTGATGGAGGCCTAGAGATGACAGCTGTTCTGCCTCATGCTGCAGTGATTATGTACGCAGTGAGTTTGCATGCAACGAACGAGAGTGCACACATAATTTTAAACATGGGTAATTTATCTCGTCGGAGGGCATCTCCTCAGGCAGACAATGGCACAATTTATTTTCAACACAGTTTACCTTCAGATGACGTATCAGGTCACTGTGATCAGAACAGCTTTTTAAAGTAACACGCCTAACAAAATAATGAAGTATGACATATAAGCAACTGTACAAACACTGCAGAAACCATTAGTATTTTTGTAGACTAAGATAAGGTGTTCCTCTGATTCACAAACAGCTACAATGGATTGATTCCTGAAATACAACAAAAGTATGGGCAAAAAAATTACCTTTATCTAGAGTTTATCCCAGTTTCAGCAAAATCTCCTCTTGGCAACTAATTTGCCTATGTGCTTTTCAACAATCTACACCACACAGCGATTACAGATTAGGTTAGATCTTATGAGAAAACTCCACAGTGAGAGTGCTGAGGCCCTGGCACAGCTGCCATGGGGCTATGGCACCCCACCCCTAAAGGCCTCAGGTTGGATGGGGTCCTGGGCAGCCTCATCTGGGGGGAGGGCAACGTGCCCACAACGAAGAGTTGGAACTGAGTGGGCTCTAACACGTCTTCCAATCCAAGTCACTCTACGATCCTATGAGTATACGGGGGTGAAAAAAAAAAAAAGAAAAAAAAAAAATAGAGCAGTCTGTGCCACAGCACTGATCTACCACGGCGAAGGGAAGTCCCCACACCCTAGCGCATGGAGCAAGCGGAACGGACCCTCAGCTCCCCGCGAGCACGCCGCGGAGCACAAAGGCGCCAGGCACACGGGGGCCTCCCCCCGCCTATTCACAGCGGCAAAATGGCGGCGCCCGCCCGCGAGCCGGCGAGCTCACAGCGCCCCCTTGGGGCCGGGCGGTCGCCAGCTCCTCGGGAAGAGGCGGCGCAGCTCTGCGTCCCCGTCGCAGATGACACCTAAGCCTTGGCGCGTTACCGAGCAATTCCCTTAATAACGCATCGAAGGCCATCGTTTGCTTCAGTACGCTCCGTCACAATTTCCTTCCTAACGGCTTTTATACACTTAATTAGTCCTGATCCTCTGTAAGACTTTAAAACATCCTTACGAATTTAATCTCTTTAAACTATCGGACCGGGGCTCCCTAACGACCACCGCCGGCTCTGCACAAACCCAAAGCGATCACGCTCCGCCTCAGGCGGCTCAGGGCCGCCCCGCCCGGCGAGGTCGCCCCGCGCCTGCCGGCTGTTTTCAGTCAGGCGCGGCGCGGGCAGCCCGCGGGGGTCCTCGCGAGCGCGACTAGGCGGCGCACAGCGGGCGGGGCGCTTCCTTTTGCTCTCGGCAGTCACGGTGGCAGGATGGGTGAGCGCTGTTGGGCAGGGCTGGGGGCCCGGGGCCTGGGCTGAAGGGGTCGGGGCGGCGCGGCGGCGGCGGCGAGGTTGGGGGGCTGGTTCCTTCATTTATCTCTGAGCCTGATGGCCCTGGCCGCGCCGCTTCCACGGAACCACGGCGGCGTGGCCATTTCACTCCGCGTGGCCGGGCAGCAGCGGGGCGGCTGGGCCTCGGAGCGCCTCCTCACCTTTCCGTCCCGCCTCCCGCAGGGAAGTGTCGTGGTCTCCGCACCGCTCGCAAGCTGCGCAGCCACCGCCGCGACCAGAAGTGGCACGACAAGCAGTACAAGAAGGCTCACCTGGGCACGGCGCTGAAGGCCAACCCGTTTGGCGGCGCGTCCCACGCCAAGGGGATCGTCCTGGAGAAAGTGTGCGTCAGCCTGCGCTGCTGCGGGGCCGGGGGGCGGCGGGCACGGGGAGGCACCAGGCCTCGGGAAGGGGCCGCGGGGAAGCAGCCAGCATAAGCTCTTCTAATTCGTGAATTTTGTTATACAGCACGTAGTGTTAGCGAGCTCTAGGACGTCTGTTATTGCTGCTTTATTTTGCTAGGTTAATAAACGTCGTTTAAGAAATGAAGCAGTATGTTCTTACTGACCTAATGTAGGGGTGGATGGTGGGATTTTTTGTTTCTTACAGCTAAAACCTAAGGGCTTCTTATTTTTCAGCTTTATTTCCTGAATTAGGATATGTAGGAGAAGAGGTAGTTATGTAATTAAGCTTTAGTACTGAGTAGTTCTACATGCATCAGTGATACCTTTCTGTTTTGAAATACATGTCCAGCCCGAACGTAAAAAAATTTAGTAATATGCTGTGGTGCAGTGAGAGTCTGCTAGCTCATGAAATAATTTTTTTGTTGATGTGTTTTCATGTGTTTTCATTTTAGTGGAGTAGAAGCTAAACAGCCCAACTCTGCTATCAGGAAGTGCGTGAGAGTCCAACTCATTAAGAATGGCAAAAAAATAACAGCCTTTGTTCCCAACGATGGCTGCCTGAACTTCATTGAGGTGAGTGATACCCAGGAACTGACTGATACGTGTGTTAAGGTAAAGAAACACAGAACAGATGGACTTAGCTGATGGTTAGACAAGGTTTCATGTCATTCTGAACAGTGTGTATCTTAATGTGGTAGCTGAAGAGGGAGGCAGAAGACGTCAGAGGCAATTTCATACTTTCCATTTTGTTGGCAAAGACAGTTTTCAGTGTTCCTGCTGCAAGCTAAGTAATATTACTCTCTCCAAAACACTGAAGGGGATATTAATCTGTGTGCCCATTGAAAGCCTTCAGTATTTCTTGTCCTTTCCCTAGCAAGTTTGTACTAGGGCTCAGATTTATTGCAGATTCTTTCAGATATCTGGGCAGGCTTGTTGTTGATAGCTTTGTAACTGCATGTTTTTTCATTGCAGGAAAATGATGAAGTGCTGGTTGCTGGTTTTGGTCGGAAGGGTCACGCTGTTGGTGACATTCCTGGAGTTCGCTTCAAGGTTGTCAAAGTAGCCAATGTTTCTCTGTTGGCCTTGTACAAGGGCAAGAAAGAGAGACCAAGATCATAAATTTCTATTAACTTGCCAAGAATATCAATAAAATTTTTGATTGGAAAAGTTTCTATCTCTTTATTTAAGATTCAGAGTATTTTGCAAGCAATGGGTCTCTCACAGGCAGGGTACACTGCCCTTTGTTGCAATAGGTTTTCCCTTAATGTAGCACATGCTTTGCTGTTGAATGAAAGAAGACAGCCAGAGCATTCTTAAAACCAGCATGTTAGCTCAAAAGTTTCCAAGTTTACTCCACAGCAGCTGTTTGCCTGGAAATTCAGAGATTTACTTCATAGTTTGAAATTATGTTTTGGGTCTCCTTCCAGTTGTCAGAGCCTTCATGAAGGCTTATGCTGCCAGGATGGAACAATAGATGCTTCCAAGGTCTCTATCCCTTTGTAAGCCCTTTCTGAAAGCTGTTGCAAAGATGGTTTCATCAAAGAAAGTTACTGAATAGTCATACTGCCACATGAACTTCAGGTCTGAGTATGATGCTAACTCTATGTGGGGACCTGATGTAAAGAAGCAGGATGTGTTACAGAAGGAAAAACTCGAAATTTTTGCTCTGTAGCCTGTGTTTTCAAGGGATGGAGTGCTGTAAGAGCATAGAAAAGGGGACTAATGTATGATGCCAGCACATGGATGGTCCAGTGGAGAGCTGACAAGCCCTGTACCCAGTGAACATGTTATCTGCAGCAGTTACGATTTCTGATGGTGGTGGAGCTGAGTTTTCAAGCTCCATGCCTGAGTCTGCTGAGGCTTCTTGTGGTGGGCTGTTTTTTTGGTGTCAAACCTACAATGATTGTAATAGGGCTGTACCATAAAGCCATTGTTAATCGTTAGGTGTGGAAAGGGTCAGAGAGTGAGATGTTCACTGCTTTATGCAGCAAAGTTGTGTCCTTGTTCTCTGTCCTCTACAAAGAAAGATGCATTTCTCTGGAGTATTTTGAAAAATACAATAGAAGTAATGCCTCTCTTACAATGTTGGTCCATGGTGTCAGAGGCAGACGTTTGTGGTACGGCAGGAGAGACTGAACCTTAGAACCTTAGCTATTTTGTTGCCGTCCAACAGATGGCAGTAGAGGGGCGGTCTGACAAAATGGTGTCTGACATAGAAGTGCAGATGAAGGGAAGGTGCGTCACTGCATTCCTCTCTGCAGAAAAAATTGCACCCGCTGGCAGTCATTGATGCTTGCTGACTGCTTATGGAGATCAGCCAGTGGATGTGAGCACAGTGAGGCATTTCAGCACTGGTAACAGTGGGTCACCTACACCAATGCTTGTGCAACAGCATGCAGGCTCTTTTTCATCACTGGTGAAATTGTGTAGCTGATGGTGGTGACTGCGTTGAAAAAGGGTGTTTTGTAGCTGGAAGTTTGCTCTATCAAATGGTGATATTGTGTTCTTTGTAATGGTTGTAGTTTCCATGGAAATAAACCAGGAGGCAGTACTTGCCAAGAGCTTCATATTCACTCTTAGTATTCAAATAAAAGCCATTCCAGTTTCTAGTGTGAAGGCAGGCAGTGGCACCTGACACAATTTATCACTTAGGTCCTGAAGGGATTATTAAGGCATTTACCTAATTTCATCTCTGTACTCCTCAGCCTCCAGACTTCACCCAGTTATTTTCATGTTACATGTTATATGTTAAATAGTTTGATTGAACAAGTCTTGCTGATTTGAAGATACTGATTTCTTTTAGTGCAGTTCAGTTGTTATCTGTTATCATTTATCTACTGTCATACTGACTAAAATATATCTTTGAATAATATTTCTTGCTTTCCTCTGCCACGCTAAAATAAATTTCTAAATAGTTGGGATTTTTTTTTTTGTTTTGTGATTTTGGGTTGGTTGGTTTGGCTTTCCAGAGGGCTCTACACCACTATCGAACTACTGAAAAACTGAAGCTTTTATCACTTAGTATTTTCTGTCATTCTTCTCTGTATTGTCCAATTTTTCAATATCACATTAAAAAATAGATGTTAACATAACATAGAATTATAGACAATAATGAAGAGGTCAAAATGTTTCTCCATGTTAGCCTTTAAACTACTGCTATATCTTCTATGCTGTCAATATCTGCACTTTTTACCTCAAGTTTGGCCCTTTGAAATTACATTTTCCATAGAGCTTATGGTGGAGCATGGGTTCTTAGTTTTGTGCTTGGGCTATCTTACACAACAAAAACTAAAAATATCTACCTGACTGAAGTTTTGATTATAAACAATTCTCTCGTTAACATCATGGTTCATCTGTGTGTTCATTCACAAGGCTCTGCTTCAATTAGCATTCACTAATTTATATGGAAGAGGAATAAAATTTAAGACCAGGCTGAGAATCTCTGCCGCTGATTGTTTTGCAGCTTAGTCATCTAGTTGTGAGATTTGGATTCAAATCTTTGCTCAGATCAGGCACAGAAGCAGCACTGAATTTTGTTTTTCTGTTGTCTTGCTAATACTGTAGCTGCTATCCTAGTGAAAACTCGTTTATTGGCATCCCCTTCCCAACTTTGGGAAAGTTGCTGTCTGCGATTCCAGAATTACGACTCCCTTGTTTGCAACCTGACTCAGATTTTCAGACCTTGACTTCAGAGGCACAATGGTCTTTGGTGCAGAGAAAAATGAAGCTGAGAAGACCAAGGCCATGATGAATGGGGAAGACGCAACAGAACAAGACAGAAAAGAGGGAGGAGTTTTTCAGGAGCTCCACCAGACATACTGTAGAAGCAGTGTAGATGCACAGTACCAGTAACATACTCCAGCCAACCAGCACACCAGAACCTGGTGAAGACCCATGAAAACCTAATGAGGTTCAGTAAGACCAAGTGCAGGGTGCTGTGTTTGGGTCAGCGCAATCCCAGGTGTTTATACAGACTGGGGGAGGACCTCCTTCAGAGCAGCCTTGCGGAGAAGGACTTGCGGGTCCTAGAGGATGAGAAGCTGGACACGAGCCAGCAATGTGCGCTTGCAGCCTGGAAGGCCAACTGTGTTTGGGCTGCATTAAAAGCAGTGGTCGGCAGGGAGAGGGAGGTGATTGTCCCCCTCTACTCAGCTCTTGTGAGGCCCCATCTGCAGTACTGCATCCAGGCCTGGGACTCCCAGCACAGGAAGGATGTGGAGCTCTAGGAGTGGGTCCAGAGGAGGGCCACGAAGATGATCAGAGGGCTGGAGCACTTCTCCTATGAGGAAAGGCTAAGGGAACTGGTCTTGTTTAGCTTGGAGAAGAGAAGGTTCTGGGGAGATCTCATTGTGCCTTCCAGTACTTGAAGGGAGCATATAAACAGGAGGGGGAATGGCTGTTTATGAGGGTGGATAGTGATAGGACAAAGGGGAATGGTTTCAAACTGAGACACGGAAGGTTTAGATTAGATATTAGGAGGAAATTTTTAACGCAGAGGATGGTGAAGCACTGGAACAGGTTGCCCAAGAAGGTTGTGGATGCGCAGTCCCTGGAGGCATTCAGGGCCAGGCTGGATGTGGCTCTGGGCAGCCTGGTCTGGTCGTTGGTGACCTGCATATAGCAGGGGGGGTTGAAACTAGATGATCATTGCGGTCCTTTTCAACCCAGGCCATTCTATGATTCTATGACTCTGTGAAGACTATGGATGGATCCCATGCCATCAGCTAATCCCAGTTTCGGTACCCACTGCCACCACTTTTTTACTGAGATACATAGCTTGGTAGCCTTCATCCCATCTTGGATAGGAGAGGGTTCACTGCTGACATTTTTGTTCTTTCCTGCAATATGTGTTTTCTGGATGTGTTTTCTGGATTTTCTTTTCACCCAAAATTCTAATGTGGACAGATTTTGAGGATATTCTACATCTGCCCAATATTTCTTACAGCTTCACTGAATCACATGTACTGTTTATGCACAGTACTTCTACTATGCTACTGTAAGTCCAGAAATCCCAGATATGTCACTACAACATGTCTGTTGTGGCTCTGTGTATTGCTTCTGTGAGACACAGATGTAGTAACCAGAGGTTGCACACGGTAGAAATGCAAACATATCCTACTGCGAAATCTCTGAAATCTAGCCTTAATCTAGGAGCATGGTGACGTCTTGACCTGAACCGAATATGGTGACATCCTGACCTGAAATAATTGGTTGCCAGTAGCACAGCCGTATTTATCCATGATATGCATCAAACCAAGCACAGGTAAACAGGTGAGAGAAATCATAAACAATTACATGCGAACCAGACAAGCTAAAACGTTTTTTTCAGGTGATCTTTGATTAAAGTACGATTAGAAACTGCTGGATTAGCAGACCAGCCTCTGCACTGAAGGCTGTGATTCAGAGCTTGCAGACCTGACAGCAGTTCTAGAGGAAGAAGCAGGTCCCTGTCCCAGTTTAATCAATAAACCAGTCTCATACACACAAATAATGTTATCATGCACCACCACTGGTGTTACATTATTTCACCCAAGTTTATCACCAGCAAACGGAGTCTTATTGTTCCTATTATGATTTGCTTTTCTTGCTTAGCAGAAAATATCAGAAAGGCTTTCAGTAGAAAAAGGGATTATACTGCAGCCATCAAAGAGTTCTGTTAAAGAAGTTGTGGTTCATATTCTTTTCAAGTTCTGAAAACAACCTGACAATAGAGGAAACGAGGGTTTAGCAGTGGTAAGTGGAGCTATTTCTGAAAGTAGGGCACTGTCGTGAGGTAATCTCACCCCTAGATGTTGCTGTAAGCACGATGAGGGAGAAGCTAGAGCACTAAAGTTGTAAACCAACAGTTGTTCATGCACACTTTGACAGAGGAAGTCTTCAAAATGGAAAAGTTAGCTTTTAACTGATTTGTTGAGTTTCCATTAGAAATGGGGCACTTACTGCCTTATCGTCTTTGTGTACCCAGTTGGAGGATAGATGCCATACTGAAACACCAGAGCCTACAGTGTGAATTCATTGCACATCTTGTTAGATCAAAAAAATGGAATAAAAGAATACAGATTACTCCTCCATTGGGCATGTGGATGTTTCACAGGCCTAGTTAAATTAGATCTCTTTTTTGTTTGTATTAAACTTCTTGTAAAGATAATATTATGTAATACTAGTTGCAAGAAGTGAGCAAACATGCAGAATGGGAGCAGAAGCAAAGCACTAAGTTATTAAAGCAAGTTGCACATTCTGAGTTGCATTTTGCCACTGATTTTATGAATATGTTTAGCATATCTGGTCAGAATTTGGGCACCAGGATGCTTTTAGGATGTCTGTCTACGGAACCTGTCAGTGCTCAAGAATAACTTCTTTTACTTGGAAGCTGCACAAAATAATTCAGAGGAAGATAAGCCAGGCCAGACTTTATCACAGTCACTAGTAAAGTGGTTCTAAGCCTAATTAAGAATGCCAGAACTATGTATTATGCAACCAAATCCTCCAAAAGAGAAATCAGAGGTGAACTTGTGCAATTAATACAGCAGACATGTAAATCTTGAAGCAGTTAGCTAATCATATGAAGCCAGTCATACCTGACTGCTGAATGCAGGAGAATGAACCTTATCGACCCTGGAGAATCACTGTTTGACCTAGTAAGGCCTGGATGGAATTTACCAAAATTGATGACTTTAATATGGATTGGGTGCAAAGAAAAGAAAGACTAGTTAGTTCCTACAGGCTGCCACATCTTTTACCACCTCTGCTCAGCCTGGAGCTGTGGACTCTACCTTCCCCTGAAGTGGGGTGGCACTAACTACAACACTTTTTGCAGAGGCAAGAATCATCAAGTTGTGCCACTGCATTGCAAGGTGATGGATTCCACGACAAGGATTCCAAGCCCAACACTGAGATTCCTCTGGTGATGCAGATGACTGCTTACTGGGATCCTTCTCTGTATATAGCCTAATCCCAGGAATCACCAAAGGTTGGGAAATGAGACACCTGAATACTATCTATCTTCCTCTATCTGGCCTTTGCTGCTGGCTTGTCACGCATGGCTCTGGAGCCTGACACAGCCATGGAGAACGACACGGCCTAACCTCAAACAGCACAACTTCCTCTAGTGTGCTGCACTAAAAATGATATTGAAAAATAATACTGCAGGAACACATGCTGTTTTCTAGCAGGCTGGAGGAAAAAGATGTTCAAGGTGAGACTCCATAAAATCACTCTTTCCAAACATAGCAGTTAACTCTTCTCTCATTTGAAGCTGAAATTCATCTTCAGTAGGTGATGGTTACAACAAGCTCTCCAGCAGTAAGTTAAAGTTTGCTGGTTTCTTTAGGCACTTCAAGACATGAAGGTAACGGCTACAACATTGTCCTAACTCTTCCTGAGCACTCAGTCCAAAGCTACACTCTTCAGGGCTACTCTCCTAGTACGCCTCTCCTCTGTAATTAGCCTGTCTTTCTAGAATTATGAATTAACACTTCAGCTACCAACAGGGCAACTTTGCAGCTATGAACTTTATGCATACACTTTTTATTCTGGGTGGTACAAATTCATTGCTAAGAAATCTTTTACACTCTGTGAAACACTTTTAAAAGCCTACATGTGATTAAAAAAATATATACTGATATCACACGCTATATTCTCTAGAAGAGAGTATTTCAGAGGAAACAATTGTATTTCACAGCTGAGGAGAAAGAGCAATTGTTTTCCTTTGTGCTAGAGCTGGAATTCTATGTAATATAAATACAGATGTCCAAACAAACTCATTAAATTGTACAATTGTAGTCATAGCAAATGGCAAAAAAAAAAAAGAAAGAAAAAAAGACACTGAAGAAGTTCTGCTGAAATTCATGGAGTTGCAACAAGAATTGATATTGATTACTTCACCATGTTCTGCTCTGACTAGCACAACATTGACTGTTGTGAAAACAAGCATGTGATTTGACCCAATAAGCATTTCTTTTAGTAACCAAAACCAAACAACAAACCTTCTGGCTGACCAGATGGAGGATAAATTCTAACCTGATCATTCTGACATAAATGAGAAATTATGTAGGTTGGAACTGCATTCCAAAGCAGAGCATGTTTTTGGCTTAGTTAACACACAGAATTCATTTTTCTTGCTGATTCGTGTAACTAAGGACAGGTATGAATTTGTTCCCTTAAAAGAAGTCCCAGAAGCCATGGTCCTCAACATGTCTTCCCAGATTAGCAAGGATGAACAACTGAGCAAATCAAAACCCAAGTTCAGATCTAAAAGCCTTCAATAGATTGGCTGTACTAAATACTGTAGAAGTTAACTTCATTTTGAAATAAAACAGAATTTCTATACATATGCAATCCCTGTAGAACATCCTGTAAGTTATTAAGGCACAGATGCAAATGGGGTCTTAGATGCCTACCTCTACTCAAGCCATTACAAAGTAGACTGTTAAACACAATGATAGCTCACCTTAATCCCAAATATTTAGGTTAGTCTGCATTTGTCTCTCAATCTAAGCTTAGAGCATTTGTACTAACTTAACTGAATTTTTGTTTGGTGATATTTTGGGCAAATTTCAAGGAAACTCGAAGGACTGATGATAATACTGCTCTGTTCCTTAGTTGTTTATGGTTTTAAAAGGTTAAGAACTATAGTAGAGCAAGGAACTATCAGTTTGCTCATCCACTTCATGCTCTCTATTATCATCATCATGTCCAACTAACTGGGAAAAGGGTCAAGGCACTGTAGAGGAATTTGGAGAGGTTTTATCAGAAGAAAGGAAGAGAGAGACTGCTTCAAAAACAGCGAAGAACTATGACTTTGCAGCTAAGTGAATGGTTTTAAGATACGGAGGAAGTAGAGTGATTACCAGCAGAGGATGTCTAGAAGCTGGAGTGTGATTGTCAGGCCATTGACAGAGAACTACCCTGATGGGTGAAGCCATCCATTAACAAGTGCCTGGAGTTTCTCTGACAAGGGAAATCTTCAGTGTAGTACAATTGCAATGCTCTGCCCAAATAATCCTCAGTTTTGTTTACAAGTGATAAATTAATGCAGAAAGTAAAGGCTGATGGGAATTCCTTCATGTCTAAGAAAATACATCATATCTTGGAATGGTTTGAGTTGGAAGGGACATTAAAGCCCACTCAGTTCCAGCCTCCTACCATGAGCAGGTTGCCTCTCACAAGGTAACACTGCCCAGGGCCCCCTCCAACCTGGCTTTAAGAGCCTCCAGGGATGGGGCACCCACAGCTTCTCTGGGCAGACCATGCCAGGGTCTCACCGTCTCTGCATAAAGAATTTCTTCCTAACATCTAACCTAAATGCCCTCTCTTTTAGTTTAAAGCCATTTGGTCTCATCCTATCACTATCAAACAGTATAAAAAGTCCATCTCCCTCATGATCATAAGCTCCCTTCAAATACTGGAAGGTGATACTGAGGTCTCGCCAGAGCCTTCTCTTCTCCAGGTTGAACAAGCTTCAGCTCCCTTAGACTTCTGGGAGAGTGCTCCAGTCCTCTGGTCATCTTCATGGCCCTCATCTGGACTTGCTCCAGAAGCTCTGCATCTTTCTTGTGCTGAGTGCCCCACATCTGGATGTAGTTCTGCAGATGGGGCCTCATGACGGCAGAATAGAGAGGGACAATCCCCTCCCTTCTGGCTACCCTCCTGCTGATGCAGCCCAGGATACAGTTGGCCTTCTGGGCAGCAAGCACACATTGCTGGTTCATGTCTTGCTTTTTGTCCACCTGAACCCTCAAGTCCTTCTCTGAGAACTGCTTTCAAGTTCTTCTCCCATACTGAACACATATTTGAGGTCACCGTGACTGAAGTGCAACAACTTTTTGAGCCTCATTACATTTTCCATGGGTTCACTTTTTCAAGCCTGTTCAAGCCCCCTTGGACAGCATCCCTTCTTTCTATCTATCAACTCCACCATTCAGCTTGGTGTGATCTGCAAACTTACACTCAATCCCACTCTCTATGTCATTGATAAAGCTGTCAAAGAGTGGGAAAGGTGATTGGGGTATATTTTCCTAGAGATTTCTTATTTATTTCTCCTTGTCTGTAATTACACTCTGCTTAGTTACATTGTCCAACGAACAGCATCCCACAGATAATACTTACCACACTTCTAATAATCAGTCTTGGCAACGATGATGAGGGAACCCAATTCCTCAAAGCCTGTTTCAAATAGTAGTACTGTACCACAGTTTCTGCTTTTGAGGCAGAAAAAGCAAGAGCTGATCTCAAAAAAACATCTATGAAAACTATGCTTATAAACTGCAAAGCAGCAACTTGGCAGTTGAATCTTCTTAAGGTCTAACAGTTACTACTGAAAACAATAGTCAGGGGTGTTCAAGGCTGTTCTCATACCTCTCTATCATACCTGATAAAGGAATCAGCTAACAGCTCTTGTCTGGTATTTGGAAACATTAATACTAAAATGACATCTGTAAGTTGTTTCAATACCACTCTATATTCAGGATTACATCTTTTCTTCATAGTCCTTAAAAGTGGAATTTCTTCCCAGTAATTTATCATCAGCAGAGTACAAGGTAACATATGTGGATGATACAGGAAAATGAGCACATGTGACTCTCAAGTACACTGACGCAGCATTCAGTGTTTATGGTTGATATGAAAAATTCCATCAGTCCTTTCCACTTCGCTGATCCTAAGGACAGCAGGAGCTAATTCAGGCCTTCGTGGAAATAACAGTACCTGAGGCAAATTCTCAGTTATCCTGGGAACAAAGGTCCAAAGGGCTTACGTGCACTGTGCTGGACAGAGGCAGCGAAGCTAGTCAGCAATGTGGAGCAGCTGAGAGCAGCTGACTGCTTTCATTCTTTTGTTCTACTGCACTGCAGATGAAGATGACAGAGTAGGGATGAACATTTAACAGCTTTTACAACTGCTGTTATCTGCTTTTTGTTTTTCCTCCTGCACAAATCTTAAGTTTCAAAATGGGCTATGGATGTAACCATCAAGCACATGTTACCGAAAGTGTTAAGAAAGATAATGTAGCTGTTGCCATAGTTCATGAATGGAAGTCCATATTTTACAAATCTTACATGGAAAAATGCCTTTTCTGATTGATATGACCCAGAATAGGATAAATTAGGTGGTTTTATTATTAATTTCAATGGGTTTGAAAACAATGCTGCACCAATGAAATTTCAAGGGCTTTATTTCAATCCACAAAAAACATATGATGCAAATTTAAAATATGCAACCAATCATAACATCAAGAAAAAGAAAAAGAAAAAAAAAGAAAAAACAATTTGAAAACCGTTGTATCTTACATTTCCGGCTATGATGTAGCATACATTAGATAATGCTGAACATAAAAAGTAAAATTTTCAATTCCATCATACTAGTGGTCTGTTTTATATTACATATAAATGTGACTGGGAAGAAATCCAGGATGGCTTGTACAGAAGTTACGTCTGTTTCTCACTGATTGCACTACTGTGTGATTCCTACTTGCTCAAACTTCAACATCTGTCAGGGGATGCTTGTGCAAAGATTGCAGGACAGGGACAAAAAGTGAAAACTACTAGTACAATGATAAATACTAATTTGACTACAACAGTTACTCCCTTAGGGTATGGCAAAGCTTCCTTCAGAGGCACCGAGGCAGGTAAAAGCCTGATGTTCTCACAGGATAGCATTAGGCACCTTGAATCCTAGAACCATACCTGCTCAGTAACAATATAATCCTGGGATTTGGACATTTTATGTGTGTAATGTGGAATATGAGGGTCAACGTATGCTAGAGAAGGTGGTCCCTAGGCAATGTCCCATATACAGATTGCTACAATCTTAAGCCACGTTCTGCAAGTCCTTTCTGTACATATTCTCACACACTATGCAGTAGAAAGGTGAAAGTAGGCTCAAACACAGCATTTCAACTCTGTATCCACATATGTGTATTTGCGTGAAGCCCTATTAAGGCCATAATCACGGTAAAGCAGAGGAAGAAAATGAGCAACTTCAGAAGGTCAGTGCTGTCACAAGGGAGAACAAGTATTGGTGGTGTTTGGGAGTTGCCATCAGAACTGCAGCCAACTCTTAAGGATTCACCTGTAATTAGGCAAGTGCTTGCCAAAGAAAGAGCCATGAATAGTTATCTTTCAGTGTTACCCTGCTTACCAATCACACAGAATTCCTTCAGTCTGTGTTTGTTTCTTCTCTAGAAAAGTCTGCAGTGGCTTTACTACATGGGTGTATTACCTGTCTTCAAGCTCAGGGGTCTGAAGTGGAGACATCAAACAGGAAAAAGAGAAAGGATGAAATTCAAATTAATGCAGCAGACTTTTGACAGATGGCACCATCAACCACGAACTGGAAGGTCTGCCACAATATGCTCTTATACCTGCTCCCTCCTGAGAGGGAGATATCTCCCTCCCAGGAACTTTCTGACAGGAAAGGTCACAGCACTGTGCCAAACATATCTCTCAGTGCAAATTTCCATTGCAAAACATGAAAGGTAACAAGGCAGTTGTATAAGCAAAATACCAAAATCTGAGTCCTAAATGAACTGAACAAAGAGCTCCAGAGGCAAATATAATGTTTTTATCAATTATCTATTTTTTTTATAATTTTGGAGGATGATGTGAGAAAGAAGAGGTGATGGAGGTGATGCAACTTTTTCTTACCTTTCAATAAAATTTCAATCAATTTCAGCGTTTGTTTTCTTTTCAAGTCCCAGCTTTGCGTAACTCAAGGGTAAACTCAGACCCACAACTGGGCCTACTGTACTTAGCCACAATACAATGTAATTTCTGTATCTGGAAAAAAAAAAAAAAGACACTAAAGAATCCATAAAGCTCTTACTCAGCTTTTCCTGGATTACAGATATAGTTGACAGTAATAAGGTATTTTAAAATGGAGCTACTCCTTCACTTGAGCCATAACAAGTGCATTATAATTTTCAGCAGTGAAGTGACCATACAGAATCCCCTACCATTTGGACCAAGGAAGTTGTTCTGCCCAATTCCACTTCCCAGCTAACTCTACAGCACATAAACCCTGCAAAGCACAGTAGTGTTTCTTACCTGTTGTCTTTTTGTGAACCGGCCATTATAGAGCACATGAACTCATTAGTCCGGCAGGGGTGTAGAACAAAAAATGGCTGTCCAAGTAAGGGATGCTCCTAAGAAATAATGTCAGTTGTTTTATTACACATAAAGAAAATAGAAAATATATCACCTTATTTGAAAAAGATGTAGAAGGGTTCATTTGATGCAATTCTTCTCTTTTCAGAACTTTTTTTTTTTTCAGAACCCACATTTTTTTCTACTAAGTCGTTAACAAATCAATTAACTTAACAGCACATTATCTTACCTAAAAAGAGAAATAAAACCACCAAGTACATTATGTCACAGTTTTAGTTCAAATGTAAAGGTTTCCAAATGCAGCTCAAGTTACTGTATCAGTATTTCTCCAACGCAAGTGTAGGCAAAACTACTGCATTTGATCACATGTAATATGTAAAACAAAGCTGCTCCATGGAAAATTTCTTTAACATAAAGCCCTGTCAAACTTCTGCTGGGAATTAAACAGAGTTCAATGAGGAGCTTGTAAGGTGAAGCAAGAAAAAAGAAGAGCCAATGAGGTGGCTTTAGTTTTCACTAGATGGCATATCCTGATTTCAGCTATTCTACAGAAAAATGTCCTGAACTTTCTCTGCCAGGAAGCCTAATCAAAATTGTCCTGAGGAAAAAAACAATTTTGTGTTTAAGTTTGCATGCAGACACATTCCCCACAACAAAACTTTCTGCATTCCTTTCCAACGTCACACAGCACAGGGAGCTGCTGAAAACTCAATCCAATGTTCCATAAAGCTTTTGCTTTCTTCTCCAACAGCCACTCACACTGAGTATATGTTCTGACTTAATCAAGCTTGCACTCAATCCCTGGCTGTAACAGGAATCTCACACTTGCTTTTACATCCATGATACCAGGACATCAGCCAATCTGACTGTCTCCATGCACCATACCTTGGGAAACTGATTTTTTAATGCTGCTGAGGTCACTGTTATTGCTTTCCACCAAAACAAACAAATTCTACCTCACCTTCACACTCAGCAAGTGTATAAGGACTTAATATGGGATACCAAGGAACAGCTAGGGGGTGATCCCAGGCAAGGAGGATGTCAGACATAAAGGGCTAAGGCAACTTATGTACAACTGAGCATAGTGTGCATGGCCATCTGCTGAAGCTTCAAAGCACCATGCACAGGAGGGACAAGGAGGGAACTGGGCACAAGCCACCCGGAGTAAACAACAGGGTCATCACCTCCACGCTATGTCCTTTGTGACATGAGCCTGGTTGGCAGCACAGGGCTGCTCACTGTGACCTCAGCAGATACCAACAACAAGGACTGATGTAACGGGCAACTGATCCTGGGCAAAGACCCTGTTCAGTTTGCTTCTAGTGGTGGTTCCATTTCTGGTTTGGTTGAGAAAAAAACACACAAATTTAATGCTCTGAGACATACGTATTTCCTTTGTCCAGGCTGTTGCAGCCAAAGTTCCCTGGTTCCGTGACTGCATATTGTGATTGCACTGCCTACACTGAAGAAAGAAGGCTCATCAAGATTTCTTGCTACACAGTAAAAACTCCTTCTCCAACTCTTTGCTTACGAACAGAAAACAAATCCTGGCCTGTCATCTTCAGCAAAGAGGGCGTATCCCATATTGTCTCTTTCAGTTAAAGGACAGTTGGTTCTGATGCTGAAAACACACCCCTGAGGAGCCATCACTTTTTGTCTAAGAGAGCTTTAAAAAACTTCCAAAAGCTTCAGAACACATAAAAATAATGTTCAGAAGGCTGTGTTTTTACACTGCAGTGCAAGTAGATAACTTGTGCATTAATCCTACCATCTGTTGGTGACAGTGAACTGATGCTTTTTTCCATTGAGAAATATTGACAGTTTTAATAAAAAAATACATTCAAATTATCTGCTAACTTAAGTCAGTTTATATCTCTAAGAGATTCTAGAAAACACACAGCTTGTGCCAGTGTTAGTCCTCAAAGATAGTAAAAACTGTTAGCTAGCAAAATAATTAAACAAAGATAAAAGCAGCAATTTAAGTCAATTTCCTTAAGTGAAGAATATAAAGAGTTAATATGCACACCCAAAAAGAATGGAGAAGATCATCTGGACTTTAAATATCTTAGCACTCTGAAAAAAAAACTAATTTTTCAAAGCTGAATATTGAGCCTGAAGTCAATCCCAACCATCTTGTGGCATGTATTTCATTCTATCCCCTCCTACTTTTTGGTTGAGCCAACTACCAATGAATGAGAAATGGAGGCCAGAGGTCATTTCTTAAAATAACTAGTTAACCTTACGTTCTGCATTTCTCTTTTAGCTTTTCCTCTTCTTACAAGACAACATAGTGAGACTGAAGAATTCCCCAGCTCTAACAATTAGATGTCCACATGAAAAAGCAGAGTGCCTTGCAACCCAGTTTTCCAAGAGGGTAAAATCCTTGGTCCTATCTTTAGTGTCAACATATGACACACGAGCATGTGACAAAGGGTCTCAGAACAGTTGGTTTGGTTTACTCAAACTCTCCTCCTCCCAAGTCTACCATGTTTGTCAACTTATTAAGAGTTTCTTCATGCAGTTTCTGAAACAACGGAAGTGCCAGTGTCCAAATCTTGCTACAATGGACATAATTTTTAATGTCAACAATGAAGAGTCCATGAAGTCAAAAAAGTTTTATTACTACACAGATCCTTCAGCAAGAAATTGGCATAACAGGCATAATGTCAAGCAAACAGCTATGTCTGAAGTGTGAATTTTTCAACAAGCTTATTGCATCAGTTTATTTTTTCCACCCTAAATAAAAGAAATGAAACTGCAAGAATGGCACACTGTTCAGAACTGTTAGAAGCCTGAAAGACAGGGATACATCACACACTGCATGTCTGACAGGAAGAACACAAAAGGAGAATGGAATAAAAGAAATACCAAGCCAAGGCCCATTATCAGGAGTCTCTAAAAAGGGAAATGGCTGAGGCAAGGAGGAGAGCTGCTGAGCAGTCAAGGAAAACACTCTGAGAGCACCAGATCTGATTCAGTCCAATTCTGCATTCCAAATCCTGTACATAATGGACTCCCTATGAGGCTTAATGTATATTCAAGGTTAAATGACTGACACAGCAGACCTGAGGAGGAACAATCAGACAGTTGCCAAAAAAAATATAAAAAAATCAAGAGTTATCAAAGTTCTGAATGATTTCAGAATGGATATCGAGCAACAGAGCCTCTTCATTGTCAGGTCACCAGTTCAGAGTCAGCCTGGGCTGCCAGTGGCTAGAACTCTTTTTATATGATGGCTGTATATGCAACTGTCTGGCTTCACACAGGCAAATCAGCATTAATTAGAGCCTTGGTGGTGGTGGCTGCATATGCGTCCAGAACTAAGAGCTGTGGCTTATTTTGTCAACCCAGGGGTAGTCCAGGTAGGAGCAAAGTGCTCTGTCAGGAAATGTAGGCAATGTGCATGTGAAATAGTTTTCTAAGTAAAATGCTAGGACAGCAACAGTAGCTTTCAGTTAAACTCTTTCTGTACGCCTGTTAGGTGGAAAGCATAAAGTCCTACCGAAGTTTTACACACACAGAATAAGATCACTTTAAACAACAAAGAGTGTTCTCATTTTTGATCACTCATATTGCAGCGCCTTTTACTGCATGTGAGACTTTCAAGTCAATTGTCACAATCAGTCACTGGCATTGTATGGAAAGAATCCATTTAGAGGTTGCTCTCAACTCTTCTGGACAGCAATACCTGGGCAGTTTGTCTGAAATTTGCAACTTTATCTTCTTGCAGCTATCCCTACACTGACCTGTGACGCTGCTCAGCACTGCAATCCACCACACATCTATGTATCTCTGAGTCTGAACCAACTTTAATGGGAAAACAGATTTTTACAGGGAGCAACTAGCTCCAGTGAATGTGAAAGCTCAAACCATTGCCAAATTTGCTCCCTGCAGGAAACTGTCTTTACTAAGTAACTTCATGAATGACCCAAAAGGATGATCTGCACCCATTTCCGTAGCTGTTTGCTCAGCTCTCTCATATAAAACCAAATAAGCGAGGTGGAAAAGAGATGTAAAATATTTTATTGGGAGTTTGTTGATATATGTACCGTTGTTTAAGGACGCTGACTGAATGTGACTGAGCAGAGCTTCCTACTTGTTAGCCGAGCAGCCAGAACGATCCCTGCAGCTGGGGTGGGCTTACTGGGATGGGATTATGAGGTCAAACTGGCAAGCTTAAACTTCTTCCATTAATGTTTATGTTAGATAGTGTGCTTGAGCTCTTGGCAACAATGAAAAGCGAACACTATTGGCTACCAGAGACTGAAAAACACCTCTGTTTTAGAAGCAACTTCTTCTGTGTGCTGTGGAAAGGTCTGCTCTCAAAGTCTGACACAAAGGCTCTGTTTCCATCCTTCACCCATTCCGTAATCATTTACTAACACAACCGGATTTCCCTCACAAGGTTATGAGGAATGAAGGTGTAAGCTTCATCCCCTCTCTGTGCACTGCCTGTAAAACAGTGACACAAATCTGAACAGTGGCAAAAATTGGGTAGCTCCTAAATGCAAGGAGAATAAAATACAAAACTTCCACTAAATTGGATTATGTCACTTTATCTAGCAGTGCATGTAGGAAATACTATCCATGTCAGATTTAAATTAAAAATAAACATTACTTCAGGTAATGGGTAATTGCCTGTAGGTAGCTGAACTATGCTCTGCTGTTCTCCCCTGCCAGCAGGTATTTTGTTGTCAGTACATCTGTTGTAACAGCACCATTTATCTTCTGTGTCATAAGTGGAGATTGTCCAGTAGTAATGGCTTCTATTTTCTCCAGTGCTACATTAACCTGCCTCTGAGTATACATCATAACTTTTATGGCCATTTACGACAGTGCAAGAGATTTGTGCCTGAACTACCTCTGCCCAGGTCTAGTTTGCATGATGTCACTTTACAAAAATAACTCACTGAAGGGTGTGAGAACTTCCATGTGGGATACCTTACCAAATAAGCCAGAACCAATTATTTTCAGGTATCATCCCAGTTGTTATCCCAGTGTTATCAGTTATCCCAGTTATCAGGTCAGACAAAGATCA